TATGTATGTATGTATGTATGTATGTATGTATGTATGTATGTATGTATACACCTAAGCATATAACATGTTTCTGTGTGAATTACACACTTTGGACTAAGAACCATTCTTTTTAGTGAAATCTAAAAACAGGACATGGCTCTCCCCAAAAACATTCAAGAGCTATTCTTGGGTATAATTGTCCTATACTTCTTCTCTTGGTAAGTTCTTATTTATTTGCAATGGTCCAAAAATTCTCAAAACTCATGAATTCCATAGTGGAGGGGGCTCCTAGCAAATCTTTCTCTAAATCCTAAGTGCTTTGGGGTGGGTGTGAAGACACACAGACTTGTCCTTCTCTGTGGAGAGGCACAGAAGCAGGAACCTAAATATAGGGGAATCTAATCTGTATTTGAAAGCAAAAGGAATAAGTTTATGAAATATATTTATTAATTGGCAGATTCTATGAAAAACAGAAAAGAAATCTCAACAACTAAAAACTTTTGTTTGTTCTCTCTGGGAAGCAGGTTCAAATATTTTATCTTTAAAATTTAGACATATTTTCAACCGCCCAGTGGCACTCTATAGATGTTAAGTAAGAAATCTGTGCACACCTGCTGAGCATATTTAAATTAGTGGGGCTTATTTAGGAGTAGAATTAGGGATTAGATGGGAGGGGGGAAATGCTGAGAATTAGTATTTCAGAATTAGAAATAAATGTTCCAAAATACTCTCTGTGAATCCTTATATTGTACACGAGTGGATTATGTTTAATGTCTGCATGCCTAAATACACTTCCTTGAAAATAAATCCCAAATTGTTTTGTTCAGGGTAAAGAAAGTTTATTAGCTTCCTTATGCTGATGAGCGCCACATTAAGTAATTTAATATTTGTTTAAATGATAAAATTATAAGCATAACCAAATCAACCAGTTTCATCCTGTTTCATATTGTTATTATATTAAATTATACAGACTGGTTACTAAGCATTGTAAAAATATGGATGTTATTGAAATAAAATTTTGACAGAGGGAAGAATATGTGGGAGATCAAATTGGAAGTGTCTGTTTATCCCTTGTTGTACATTATCAATTTCTGTGATTTCAAATTGAAATATATCCCCTTTATCTACATGTCTTATTACAGTTATTCCACAGTCTCTATTTAAATAATTTATATCGACTTTATTATTTTAATATAAATATAATTTAATTGTTATAAAACTTAGTTTTCATTTAAAAATTAATGTAAAATAAATAATTGTAGCTTCCAAAATGAAACATAGTATGTATGTATGTATGTGTGTGTGTGTATATATACACATATACATATACATACACACACACATACACACAGAAGAACCCTGGCATTAAGATTTTTTTTCCTTCTAGGAGACAGATAATTCATCACAACACCAAACTTTAGATTTTAAACAAAATTATGTAGGGCATCCATGTGCATATATTCACAAAGAGAGACATACACATTTATACATACACATTACATATGTGAACATATAGAAGAGAGAGATTAAACACACACATTTATAGATATATAGATTCATTTATTCATTTGTGGCCTAGACCGGCTAAAAAAACCAGAGTTCAACTGTTTTACTATAGAAAAATCTTCACCTGGTGTTGAAATAAGTTTGGGAATGAGGTGGCTAATAGTAACCCCTTGAAACTTTTTATCTTCATATATGTAACAAATTGTAATTTTAACATCTTAGATTAAAAAAAAAATACACGGCTGACTGCTAATTTTATTTTTTTGTTTCAACTTTTAGCCTTCCGTAGGTTCTACAAAAAGCAAAGAACAGAGAGGTAAATAAGCAAATAAGAAACCCATCTTTTGCATGCTAACACGCGGTTTCTCCCTCATTTCCCCCTTTAAAGCATTTTTTAAAATATAGAGATTGTTGAGATTGTCTTTTCCTTATCTTTTACTTTTGAGGTTACAGGTTCCTCTCCTCATAAAAACAAAAAAACAAAACAAAAAACAAAAACCCACCCACAGAATAAAGCAAAAGCTCCTAACGGGTGGAGGGGGAGGGAGGCGAAGCGGGGAGAGTGCAGGAACCCTACGGAGCAGATACTGGGTTGAGATGCCATAGGCATCCCGCATTTAGCCCTAACTTTAATTCACAACACTGGACTTGATCTGAGGACCGAATCACCTTTTTCGTTTCGCCAGAAGATGTAACCCTCCGCTTAGTCCCGATGTGCCAGGTTCTGCCGCAGAGCATACCAGAAAAGAAACAACTGCTTAGACCCCAAACTGCTAGTTGTTTGGGACTGAAATCCTTCTTTAAAAGCCCAGCGGGGAAATGCTTTAACCTGACGACTGAGGCTTCTTATGGTTTCCATTCCTTCTTAGGAATCAACATAGATGCAGGGACACAGATATTATACATACATACATATGCTGCAGATATCCCAAGCAATCGATATGCATGTCCCTCCCGCGAGCTTACAGATGTGTGTGTGCGTGCGTACCCCTATATGTACAATATCTCCCAAGCACACAATACACCCGTCTCACATAACCTTTGCGCGCTTACGCCGTCCTAAGGAGAAGGTGTTGTAAAACTTCTGGAAGAGGCTTACAAACCTCGGGGCGTGGATTCTCCTTGCAGTCAACTTGATCGAGGGTGGGGGTCTTTATTTCGTCCGTATAAAGTCCGGGTCTTCCCTTCGGTTTACGCGCGCTGTTCTGCTCTCTCTCTCTCTCTCTCTCCACATCTTTCGCCCTTTCCCTCACCCTCCATACCCTTCATTTCTCTTATTTAAAAAAACGCGTCCTTTACTGGTTTGTTACCAGTGCCAGAGCCCCGAAGTATATCTCTCTTCTACCCACACAGGGAGATGTCACGATAAGATTGCGGAAGTGCCACAGAAATAAGGTGCCAGCCACAAATGCTTGTATGTGTGTGTGTATTTGTATGTGTGTATAAGAGAGAGAGCAAGAGAACCTCCCACACACCTGCAAGTTACCTAATTCTAGTGGAAAAAGGTAAAGGGAAAGATCCCCCCCGCTTGAAAAAGTTGTTTATAGTGGGGCGGGGGGAGAAGCAAACCTCAGCTTCAAGCGAGTCTGCTTGAGCTCCGGCGACTCAGCCCGCTTGAGAGTCGGAAAAATCTGCATCCGAGGCGCCTCTAATGAAGTGCTGGGGGCTAAAAAATCCCTCCTGAGCCTTACCTCGCTATTGGGACGCCCCAAAGTTGGGAGTGTAGCGCCTTTCAGAAGAAGCTCAGGGTTGGATTTGACTTTTTCCTGCCAGCCCCAGTTAGCTCTGAACTCTGCGGCGCGCTATTATTTACAGTGAGTTCCCAAACTAAACACAATAGTATAATTTAACCTTTCCAGGCACTCGTAAATTTTTACGGCTGTGAAACAGAGCAACGCAAATGAATATGCCCATAGTTACAGACTTAATAACAGCCCGTGGCTCCCGGAACAATAACTCCTTATGAAATATAATAAATATGTATTTAAATACAGTTTGCCGCCAATGTTATTTTCTTTCTTTATGGCATAAACGACTGTATAATTTTATGTGAAGGTCTCCGATCACAAGAAGAGCAGCATGTCTGCGCGGTGCCCCCTTTCTCTCGCTCTCTTTCTCTTTTCCCAAGGAACAAGAACCACTGATGGAATGATTAATTATGATATAAAATAGTCCACTTAAAAAGAGTGATCATAATAGACCCCCTCAAAAAAATAGTCTGATCTTTTTATCTCATTCGGCCACAATTAAAACAAACTTTGCTCTACAACTTGCTTATTCCTATGCATTAAAAAAAAGAGCATATGGCTTTGCTATAAAAAATGATGGCTGGAAAACACTGACCCATTAATAGCCTGCGGACTGATTTATTCTTTATTGTTCTGCTGCCCGGGCACGTGACACGCGGCAGCCAATGGGGTGACAGGCAGCCTTCAACTTATTAGGTGACTGTACTACTTCGCAAGGACCAAGTTGTTCCATGAAATCTGTAGTTTCATAATTTCGCCAGGGCTCGCCTCTCCTTTGGTTTGGCTGGGGTGGCGATGTCTTCGTCGGGGGCGCTCAGCAACTACTACGTGGACTCGTTCCTCCTCCACGAGACCGAGGAGCTGGTGCAGTCGCGCTACGCCTCGGCCCCCCTGGGCCAGCCGGCCAGGCAGGCGACCCTCGGCGAGCACCCCGAGTTCACCCCCTGCAGCTTCCAGTCGAAAGCGTCCGTCTTCAGCACTTCCTGGAATGCCGTGCACCCGCCGAGCGCCAGCAATGTGCCGGCTGTCTACCACCCGTACGTGCATCACCAGCCACCCGACGGCAGGTACATGCGTTCGTGGCTGGAGCCGATGCCGGCCTCCTTGTCTTTCCCCGGCTTGCCGGCCAACAGGCATTACGGCATTAAACCTGAACCGCTCACGGCCAGGAGGGGTGACTGTACCACCTTTGACACGCACGCACTCTCTCTGACTGACTATGCTTGTGGTTCTCCTCCAGCTGATAGGGATAAGCCAGCCAACGACGGGGCATTCTCGGAAAACAATGGCGAGAGCGAGGCAAACGGAGACAAACCCCAGCTGGATCCAAGTAAGTGCACTTGCTAGAGGGCCCCGCTGGACTTGAGGAGAGAAGGAGGAGAGAGGGAGGGAACCCGAGCGAGAGTCTGCCGAGGCAGGATCCATCTTGAGCTATGCGGCAAGGATGGCGGGTGGGGGGCGCGCGAATAGGTAGGTACGGGAGCGGTGGGTGGGAGCTTCTGTGGTCAGAAAAAGGACAGAGAGTGCCGAGGCTTCCTGGAACCGGGGCGTGCGAACCTCTTATGTGTGTGCGTGCCGTTGTTTTATTTTTATTTTTTCCCTTTCCTCCCCTGCTTCTCTTTCTCGGAGTCTGCAGAGAAGACCGTTCACAGAGATGGTCCGATTCTCAGCTTCAGCCTGCCTTTCTCAGACACAGTGTGCAAGGGAGTGTCACATGCACGGTTTCCCTGGCTATGGCTTCCGCTAGAAAGCTGGATAGCGAAAATTCGGGTGGGGCAGGGGGAAAGCGAGATGGGGGGACGGGGTGGGGGGGGGGGGGGGGGGGAACGTGAGGGGAAGGAAATCCAAAACACTGGGTGTGAATCCATTTCCCTTAGCTCACAAAAAAAAAAAAAAAAAATCCAAGGCGGCCCAGTTCAGGAAAAATTCATCTTCTTTCTCTCCTGATTTTTGAAAGGATCACACCCACAAATCAGGTTCATAGGCAAGTTAGGTTTATCCTTAAAAGCGTGGCTAGATTCTTTTGTCCCCTTATAATCAGAGGAGACTCCAGAGAAGGTCAGAAAATAGAGACATTCACAATGGGCGCTCTGTTCTTATGGGTGGTTCACCACCATCTTTTTAATTGCTGGTGGGGTGAGGAGGAAGGAGGTGAGGACAAGGTGGGGAGAAAGCCGGAAATGCTTTAAAAGTACACTCTGGATAAACAATATGAGGGAAGCTGGCTGCTGACATTTTATTGCAATTCCATATAATTCTCTCCTAGGTCTCAATTTGAACATCATTGTTGCCTAGTGGAAGAAACATGAGAAACTATCAGTATTTTCTGAGAGAGCGGGTAGTGATGAGGCCAGATAAATATACATTTGTGTATGGAAGTCTTTGCTTCCTTCAACCTGAGTGTTGTTTCCCTGCAGATAACCCAGCAGCAAACTGGTTACATGCAAGATCCACTAGGAAAAAACGTTGCCCTTACACCAAGCATCAGACACTGGAGTTGGAGAAAGAGTTTCTGTTCAACATGTATCTCACCAGGGACCGGAGGTATGAAGTGGCCAGGCTCCTGAATTTAACTGAGAGACAAGTGAAAATCTGGTTCCAGAATCGTAGGATGAAAATGAAGAAAATTAACAAAGATCGAGCAAAGGATGAATGATCCTGGACGGCAGGTTTAATCTGTGTCAAAACAGCAAAATCCGCCCTTCCCCCCTGCGGTCCTTCAGTGCCACACAACGCAGCAATTCCTCTCCCCCATATCCTGAAACTGTGTCCAGGCCTCACATATTTTTATTTTTTCATTGTTGTTTGTCCGTGGCCAATTCAACTCTTGAATGTACCTCGCCAGCGTGCAGAAAACCGCTGTGTCCTGGTGCTATTTTGGAGGTATCAGGTTTTTTTTTTCCCATTTTCTATTCATAGGAAAGCAAAGGAGGGACATTACCGCATCAGGGTGATATGTTGCTTTGTCTAAATCTACCTGTCAAGAAAGAAAAGAAAAAGAAAAAAGAAAGAAAAAGAAAAAGAAAGAAAGAGAAAGAAAGAGAAAGAAAGAAAGAAAGAAAACTACCTTTTAATGCACAATTCTTTATGGACTGTATAGGTTAGTTGAAGTAGTTAAATTTATTTGCTTGTCGCACGGCAGAGAGAGGTCTGCTGTAATACTTGAACACTGTGTTTTATTGTGGTATTATATTTGTGACTCAATTTTTGTGCTTGGGTGCTGTACAAGATGTGATTGTGTAAGCTAGAATACAATTTGAACTCAGGTTGTTTATTATAAAGATTGCATAGAGTATAGCTCTGTAGTGTAAGGACGGAGTCTTTTTTTCTGTACCATTGAAAGGTTAACCTTGGATTGTAAGGGATAAAAATTATAAATCATCCATTTCGTATCCTAACTTTTAAACATAAAAGAAAAGCAAATATTATCTGGAATAAAAAGGAACGTATTGGTTCCTCTCAAACCAGTCATTTAAGTATGCACACAATCTATCTATCTATCTATCTATAGTACAGTTTTCGTCAGTTGTATATATATTATCTATATATTAAAGAAAGAAACCCTTAATAATCAAAGTAGCTTGAATATTGTTTTTTGCACCCGTGAGCAGTTCTCAGATATCGGAGCTATACCTATATGTGAAAAAGGTAACTACTACCTATGGTTTACGTTTTAAGATTAATCAAATAACTTGATTCCTATTGTAATGAAATTTAATTTTATTGATAATAAATTATACACTAAAAACTACCTTTGGTTATTGCAGATGTGTATTAATTTTTTTTAACAACCTGAAAGTTATGTTTATGCAGAAGCTACACTTTGTATATTTTGCAAAACTTACCTCGTGGCTTACTGACCAAATAGTTTTGTCCAAAATGATATTTAACTTTTTTGCTAAATAAAAAAAAATATTGATTCTTTTATATTTTTGTGCTGTTTTAAGATTATTATGGGCACTGCTCCACAAGCTCAGCCCATAGATGGCATCTATTCTGGTGAGAAACCAGCAGCAAAACCCTGATTCTAAGCCCAATTATTCAAAAATAAATCCCTACACTTTTAATAACACTCCCTCCATGCTTTGGATATTAAGAACTCATGAATGAAAACGCCTGTAAGCCTCTGCATCGTTTTCCTGACATCACAGCATTTAAAAACCCTGCCACCCAACAGACTATTGAAAATAGTAGCCAGCTTTCTGGAAGTCTATAATTTTTAATGATGCATATACAAATAAAGGTTTTATTTAAAAACAAAACAATACACCAAGCAGCTGTTTGCGACTGGCTTCTTCAAGGGCAAAAATATTCCTGCTCTTTTTATTGGTTTCATTTTGAACTCTCACACCAAATCAAACTGTTCTCAGAGGCAAATAGCACTGGTATGAAACATCCCCTTTTAACTTCCTGCAGAATGGGCTCTATGAAAGCCCCCCGCCCCCCCCCCCGCCCCCTTTTGCTATTCTGTCTACAGAGTCTCCCAAATGAAGGTGTGGCATTTGTCTTCAATAAAAGATAGCAAAAGATAGTTTTTATTCTGATAAGCAGGAAAGTCAGATTCTAATACAGATGACAGGCCAGTTCACAAAATGTTACAGCTTGCTGGACATAGCTGACAATTTAACAAACAAATATCAGAACGGGTGGGGTGAAGTGATGGTGGGATTGGGATTGGACTCAAGTCAATAAGCAAGACAAGGGATTGTATGGAGATGAATGCCAAGTGAATCTCATAAGGCAGCACCTAGAATCAAGTTTTAGATTCCACAAACTACTTGAAGAGCATTTCGCTCCCTCTCAGGAACTCTGCTAGACTGACCCCTTTCCTTTCAAAGATAAAAGGGCGAGACCACTCTCCCAACTCATACCTCTGGGGATGAAGACGGTATCAGGAACATGTAATAAAACGAACATGGCGAACCCCCCCCCCCACAACCCTTTCTGAGTGTAAAGGGCTGGCGGATGAAAGAGAATCTGGGTCTCAAGGTCTGTAAAAATCACCCCACCCCACCCTAGACTGGCCCGGGACAGAGTCTGGCTGGCTGTTATTTATTTATTTATTTATTTTGCTTTATTTTGAAGGAAAAATAAAAGGTGGGGCTTATCCCTGCGCAAGTGGAAAAAATGGGGTTGGCATTGGCGGGGAAAGGAAATTGGAGGGGACTGAGGAAGCTGGAATTACTGTCTGTCCCAGGACTTTGGGATCTGGGACGCCCTCTGTTGTTGTGGACAGTGGGGACTTCAAAGCACCAGCCTTTGGAGGGCCTAATAAATGGCTGGTCTGCAAACTGTCTGGAATTTGGACCTTAATGAGTTTACAACTGTCCAGCCGCAATTAGTTTTCCTACAAAAGTCCTTTCATTTGTTTTGTCTGGCTCTTTCAGATAAAGCCGGACTGCGGAAATAGCCTGCCTTTATGAGTTCCCTTCCTCTGGAATGCAGGCTGGAACTGTGGACGTTTATCTATAATGAATTTGCCCCCGGGATCTACTCCAACAATAGCCAAGGCATGGCGAGGCAGATTATTTAAAACGTTTGCAGTGCAGGGAGCACCTCCGGTTGTTATGCTTTAGTAAGGATCCTGAACCTTTTGGATCATTTGCAGGGACCAAGAAGAAACACCAGATGGCAGTGTTGTTCCATGAAAACGACAGTGATGTTTTTGAACGCCAAAGGAAGATTCTAAAATGTCGACTTTCTGGAAGCAGCATCCTGTATATGCCGGGGCTGGAAAGTGCTGATTGGATTTTAACAAAGGACAAAAGTGCTCCTTGCCTATTCATCCCTATGAATATCTGAACGCTTAAAAAGGAATGCAGCAATGCTGGGTTGGATGCAGATTTATTCACGCCAAAAACAGATTCTCAGATAACAGTGGGAATTTAAGCCAGTTTTGATTAAAACTGAATCCAGTTGTTAATCAGGGTGTCATTTATCGTAAATCTTAATTTCAGCACTCCGAACCACTTGGCTTTTTATTATTATTTTAAAAATGTATCAAAGATCAGATTTTGTGTGTTGTGACGTCAGATGCGAGTAATAAGTGATATGTCTATTTATGTGTATGTATATATTGTGCATGTATGCATCCACATATCTATAGATATGTACATATATATACATATACACGTCTATACAAACACATGCTTCAGGTTTAAAAATGGCTCATTTCAGCTCAATAAAGAGGCTGATTTGGAATCTATCCTTTTGGATATATACAAGTATGTATCATCTTTGGGGAAATTAAATCTTTAACTATTAAACCTATCATAAAATACAAATACATTTGTGTTAGGAACCAATCCATAATTTAACTGGCTGTGATATGCACAAATTGATACACACAATAATATCTTCATGCAAATATAAATCACGCAGGCAAATATATTCACACAGTACAATCATTTATATTTCCTCAATTCCACCCAGGCAGCATGCTGCTCTATAAAGTAAGCCTCACTGAATAATGTGGATTTTACTTTCTAGTAAATATGCCCAGGAAGGTCTTATGATGGTGTCATTGTGTGTAATGGTATTCTATCAGCGTACTCTAACGGGGCATTTAATAGCACACCCCAATAGTTATGTAGAATTAAAACATAAGCAGGCTGCACCATCTTTACTGAAAACATAAAAAATATTACATCTGCAAAGATTCAGATTTCGGGTAAAGCCTCAGTGGATGATTGAAAGGTAAAAGCAACCCTAAGAAAGAGCTTAATGGCCATGCTTCCAAATACAACAAATAGATTTTTTTTTCCTGAAAAAAACAACACAAACGAACAAGCTCCCCTTTTAATAGGGATTGTAGGCAGTTCTGTACGATGAGAATACCCTTCTTTTCTAACACAAGGATGTCTTTCCTCAGCCTCATTTACATTCCCCAAACGAGACTCTGCCTTGCTTTGGAGGACGGGCTGTCCTTGAAATTGTGCTTTTTTCAAGCACCCCCCCACCCTAAGCCCCACAGTCTGAATTGCTAGGATAAAACGACTAATTTTTAATTTGAAAATTATTTACCAGCCACTGAATTTTCCAGCAGATGTATTTTCTGCAATTAAGGGCTTTGTTCTGTCCTAAACAATTTTGACTCGGTGGGATCCGATTTAATTATGTTATGCAAATGCTCACAAGCTGACATACCACCGGCTCTACAGAGGTCTGTATCTTTTTATTCTGGGACCTTTTTTTGTTCCTTACATTTTCTTTTCTTTTCCTGATCAAAAATTAATTCCTCTTTTTTCCTTCTGCTCTGCGGGACTGTATTTATTCTCCTTTCAGCTGAGCAAAGAACATATTCTGGCTTCTGAAAATTAACTGCCTGGAATTCATGTTTATCTGTAATAGGTCTTCGGAATATAACAAACATAACATGAAAAGGAAAGAAAAATATATTATTGAGGAAATGTTGAAAATGTATACCTTCATACCTACAGAAGCACATAGAAATCTATCACTAACGAGCCATATAAAACCAGTGAAGGAAGATTCAAGATTCAAGCACGGAAAGTATTTTGGTTTAATGCTATAATAAGAATCCACATAAAGAAAACAGGCAATTATATCTGACATTAAAAATACTGAAAGCCTATGGAGGGAATGCAGCGTCTATATTTAATAAATAGTCCTAGTGGAAAATTAAAGTTATATGAA